AGAGAGAGAGAGAGAGAGAGAGAGAGAGCTATCGCATGCAGGAAACCCGAGTTCAATTCTCGAATGAGGAAGAATTTTATCAAGCACATAATACATGTATGTACATGTATCTCGGTCTTTCTGTTGGTTGTATCCCTCTCTTCCCAGGTCGGCCCTGACAGGCAGGGTCGGAAGCCCGCCTCCTAAATGATCTAAATTATATCGAACGGGGGAGTAAAAACTTCTTCATGTTTTTTGTTGGGTTTTTTTGTTGCCATTTTCGTCTGACCTGCCCGAGGAGACAGCCTGTTTAAGTGGACCATGTTTCCCCTCTTGGTCGTCTTGGGCAAATTCGGTTGTATCTCTAGAAAAATAAAGAACAGATTATAATATATATGTCACTGTGTTGTTGAAATAAACTTTTGTCCCTTTATCACATTGGTTTTTTGAACAAAATGCTTGGATTTGACATGGTCTCCGTAGAAGAATGCTGGGTTTTAACCTAATTAACTCTAAATTATTATGGTACTATATTTTCTTCTTTTCTAGGCGATGTTCGTCCAGTACAGGATTTATCCCTACGACAACGTCCTTCCTTTTATTCAGCAGTTTTCTGTGTCCTGGTTATACCCATCTGCTGTCTCATGTCGTCCTGCCATCCTCTTTCTGGTCTTCCTCAAGATTTTCTCCTGTTCTTGGTCTCTTATCCGTTCTTCTTTGAGTCCATCTGTTAGTGTTACCCTTCTCACTGCCGATGTGGCTAGCCCATTTCCGGTTTGTTTGTTTTTCGGAGCATGAATTATTAGGAAAAATATCTGTCACTCCCGTTTTCTTTCGTAGCTTTTTTAAAGATTTATTTAATTAATTTTGTCTTCTTATACCCAGCATTGTCCTTTCCATTGCTCTTCATGTTATCCGTTATGGTAAATATTATCCAAACTTGTAAGTATGCCATGGACTTTCCTTTTTTTTTTTTCGAAATGGCTTCAAGGTTATAATCTATGTTCGTGACTGCTTATGAGAATTGTCGTAGGTGGTTAGCGGGTGCTGTGGTGTGATTCGCTTCTTCTATCGTTTTTCCTATCAAACGTCTATCGTCTTGATCTCCCCTCCTTCTTTTTTGTGTTTGTTACCAGTACTCTTTTGTAACACCTCTAATTTTCGGCACTTATATGACCTCATTGTGTTGCAAGTGCCGTAAAACTCTCACTAAAAACAAACTGAGAGTGGCCCAAAAGGGGTGAACAAGGTATTTAAAGTGGCAAAGGCACGGTTTCGAGCGTCGAGTATACTGTTCGTTTGGGTATTCATTCATGAATCTCTATTTAAAGTTATGCATTCTACGTAAGACGATCCTTTATTTTTCTGACCCCTCTTTCTAATATTTGCTGTTGTTTTTTGTGCTTTTTTACGCATGTCTTTCATATTTAGTATCCGTAGCATGGGCTGGAGAAATATTTCCTAGAAATTCAATTGCTAAATGCTAAAAAAAAAGCAATAAAAGATGTATATTTTGGGTACAATGTTTTAAAAAGAGAAACAGATTTTTTTTCTCTCTCTCGAAACACTCATCTTTTTGGTCCGAACTCTTAAAAGTCGGCAGGTTTACTGACTAGATGTTGCATTATTATTTTTCATGTTTTCCTAATTCGTCATAAATGTTTGTAACGATGCCGAGGGATCAGTAGCTCATCAGTTTTGGAGGCATATACGGAGTTATTGGTAAATTCTTAAAGACTTGCTTTTGATGAAGAAAACACCAACCTATCTTGAACGGAAGTCGAGGTGTTTGCCATAGAAGTAGGTGGGGGTTGCCTGGTGCCAACGGGAAGTAGCGAGAAAATGACCGCCAAAATTTGGTGACATCCAAAGCTGTAGTGTCCCTGGAAATTACAATTTTCCTATGCTTTTAATCATATTGTTAAAAGTAAATGTTATGCCGGACTTTGTTCTCAAGTGTACGTGAGAGTGTTGAGCCCAAAATTTCTATATCGATAAAAATCACAAAACGGGCGTAAAATGGTTGATTTCTTTAATTTCATTACATGTATTTTGACGAACCCCTGTTTTCACCACGATGCATCAAATATCTATTTGACTGTAACACAACTGTGTCTTCATACACCATTTCGTTCTTCTTTTCTTAAAAAATGGTGGGTAATAAATTCTGTTTGTAGCTTGAAGCATGTCATTTTTTATGCTGAAAATGCTAACCTATACATATTAAATTGTATATAACTTGTTGTGGCAAAGCAGGAAATGTACGGGTGATTGGCGGGTTCTCTTATGGGGTTTGCTCTTTCTTTTCTATAAAACACCTATCGTCCTTATCTTTCCTCCTTTTTATTTGCAAGTTACTATCTAGTAACATCTTTGATATTCGTCACTTCTATGACCTAATTGTGTTGCAAGTGCCGTAAAACTCTAACGAACAGCCAGTCTTCTCCGATTTCTCCTCACTCCCAGCACCAGCTCTTCACCCATCAGGGCAGAAGAAATCCGGAGAAATAGGCAGCCAAACGGCTAAGGGTCGGGGGTGAGGCGTTAGAAGCTCCAGGCTTGACCTCAACGACCTCTACGGTGATGACGTCACCAGCTTTTAGTTCTTGTATCTGTGGAACAACAGAAGCAGTTGCTGTGAGTTAAGTGACAGATGAAGGATGCAGACCGCACTTATATGGCCTTGTTGTGTTGCGACAGCCGTAAAATGGGGATCCTGTGGCTAAGTGAGCAGTGAGTTCAGACTCAAAAGTAATGAATGTCAAGCCCGTGTGGGTGACACAGGGTTTAGATAGGCGGCCTGTGGGGTGTTTCTTTGAGCTAGACACGACAACCCTAGTTCAGCCGGAAGCAGGGCGCAGCACAGTGGCGACCAGCAATGGCATGTTTGTGGAAATGTTCTGTAATGGTGTAATATTGAGTATTTTGTGTGTATTTATGTATGTATGTATGTATGTTTATAATTATATATTTGTGCATGTATGTTTATCATTGTAACCCAGATTTTCCCCATGGGGATCAATAAAATATAATTTAAAGAAAAAAAAACAACAGAAAAATTACTTTTTAACAAAACACAAGTGTTAATGTTACACCCAGAGCACATTGGCAGGTTGATTCATTTCGCTCAGCAGGGGCCAGTCACATGGGATTTGATGGAGAAGCAAGAATTGCAAGAATTGCCATTTCGCCACAGAACGACCGAGTCGACTCATGCCTTTGCAGAGACAAGCACGTTTAATTTTGAAGATAGGACTGTGTTGTTTAGAACAACAGAGAAACCCTTTCTTAATCAAGGAGAGTGCAAAATCCAGCCAAAACTCACCACAGTAACACAGGAAGGATGCACATCATTGGCTTCGTCACTCTGTCTATTCCATGATTTTGTTATGGATAAGGTTTGGTAAGTATTTCTTTCGTTCTTTCTCTCTTTATTCTTTTCTTTGTTTGGGGGGGGGGGTGGGGCTGTGTAAGAATGAAGTACCTAATTTTCATTGACCAAGAGTAACCTTGGGGGTATTGTTTAGGATTGTTGTGGGTGGTTGGCGGGTGCTCTGGGGTGGTTTGCTTCTTCATTCCTATCAAACACCTATCGTCCTTATCTCCCCTTCTTCCTTTTTTATGTCTGTTACTGTCTTATAACACCTCTAGTTTTCTGGCGCTCATATGACCTTATGCAGTTGCGAGCGCCGTAAAACCTCTACTAAAACTAAAACTAACTGAAAAGCCTTTTTTATTGTTAAAAAAGAGCTTTAAAAATCTAGCAAAAATTCACCACTGTACCACAGGAAGGAGGCACTGGCTTCGCCGCTCTCTATCTCTCCCACGACGATGTTTTAGTTAAGCTTTGGAAGGTTTTGGGGTTGGGGGGGGGGGGTTTGGGTTGTTTTTTTTTGGGGGGGGGGTTGTTTAGGACAATAAAAGAGAAGCCTTTTCATAATCAAAAAGAGTGCAAAATCCAGCCAAAACTCACCACAGTGACAGAGGAAGGGTGCAGACCATTGGCTTTGCCGCTCTCTATCTCCCCCACGATTTTGTTATGGTTCAGGACCACAGTGGCGTGGTACAGGCGGTCAGGGTCTGTGTCTTTGATGGGCACGTTCAGGAACAAGGCGTAGGTGCCGCTGAATGGCGCGGTGAAGGCGCCCGTCACGAAGTCGTAGCCGTTACCTACGTTGGTGATCACGTTCTATGGGGAGAAAATTTGTGGTTGGATGGGTGGTGTTGTAAAGGGAAGGGGGGTGTAAAGTACAGCTGGGCGAAGGATCGATTCCGGAACAGATACCTACGATTAATGCTACGGAAGAAAAACTCCGACTCCTTTTTAAGTAAACCGACGGTTACCAGTTACTTCAATAATTAAAATCTTTTTAAAAAATTACTTGTGAAAAAAAAATGTGATGCTTCGTAGTGTTCCGAAATCAAGGTTGTTTTAAACCCTGAAGACGTTCGGAGTCAACCAGGTAACCACCGGAAGAAATCACACCATTAGAAAGTAAATAATTGGGTTCGGGGTCGATTCCTACGATTCCTAGCTTTCAATAGTCGGGAACCTAACCGCCCAGCACAAGTGTAAAGTGTAAAGATGAAAAGAGGGGGGTGGTGATAAAAGGGAGGGAGAGTTGGTGGTGGGTCAAGTGGGACGTGGTGTCCAAGGGGG